GTGTGTGTGTGTGTGTGTGTGTGTGTGTGTGTGTGTGTGTGTGTGTGTGTGAAAGTGTGAATGTGTGTGAAAGTGTGAAAGTGTGAAAGTGTGAAAGTGCGCGCGCGTGAGTGTGTGTGAGTGTGTGTGAGTGTGTGTGTGTGTGTGTGCTCGCACGCGTGAGTGCGTGTGAGTGTGTGTGAGTGTGTGTGCGTGTATGTGTGTATGTGTGAGTGTGTGTGTATGAGTGTGTGTGTGTGAGTGTGTGTGTGTATGTGTTTGTATTTGTGTATGTTTTATTGCTCAGTAATCTACATACATTCTTCTATTGAGGCAACTGTTATTGGTGCAGTTGTGACTACAAAAACATACATTCGCAACTGGTGCTGACATCTCTACTACTGACGACCATGATTCTCCATACATTTCTCCACTCGAATGCTTTCAAAAGTCCTACATTGTCTCGATAGCTCTCCGTCAGCCATCTTTTCAGAGATTTTTTTTTTTTTTTAATTTGGGGGGGACTTGTCTAAAGGGAGGATGCACGAAAATAACTGACTGAGCTTCTCCATGGGTTTTGTTTCTTTGGGGGTGGTTTTATTATTTTATTTTTCATTTTTTAAAAATAAGATTATCTGAGTCTTCCCCTGCCTCGTTTGCCTTTTATTATTTTTTCCCCACTGAGAGCAAGATGTTCAAATCTCTTATTTGAAGTCACGCGTCCCAGAAAGCTAATTAATATTTATAATTTTTGTCGCTTTCTAACATAATATTATTATCATGTCCGATCATCAGTATACTAAAAGAAAATTATTATGCTGCCGCACATTTCGAATCACCACCATACAGAAATCGGAAACAGGCATCTACATAGTCCATAACAACGCATGGTGCTCCCTGCCTTTTTAATTAAGTTTAAGATAAATAAACTGTATTTATTTTTTAAAGGTGTCCCTAAAACAGTTTGTCTGTCAGCGTTGTCAAATTATGGGAGGCATCGTGGTGAAATCAGGTGCTCGTCAAAATAATGATATCGAAGTCAAAGAAACCTTCATTGTTCCACCGGTTGGGCATTTTTTTTTATTGCTCAAGATCTTTCATGTCCATTTAAGAATACATTTTAATATGTGTGGAGTTTTTTTTAATGGATATTATGTTTATGAAAGGCACAACAGAAATGTAAATTCAGTTTCCAAGAACAATTATGCTTTGGAAGCCAACAAACTTTGGCGGGCACTTTCTCGTTATTCTTAACTCCGACTCCAGCCAACCTGTATCTCTTTCAATCGCAAATATCTCGACTACTATTCAAGATGGATGAGCAGGCTACTTTTTTCCCCAAAAGCAAGAGAATCAATATAGGATATAGGCCTACAAGCTTTAAGACGATACCAATAACGCCATTGTATTAAATGTACATGAATGTTTTTGGGACACCTGAAGAGACATAAGGGTCTTGAACATCTAGCTCTCACTGGCAAAATTGAGGGCAAGCGAGGCAGGGGTAGGCCCAGAACAACATACTCAGGGAACCTAAACAAAAGGGTAACAGGGAAAGATCAGGGAAACGTAGCTTTTTTTTTTTTTAGAGCATCCGAGCAAAGGAATGAATGGAAAACCATGATCGCCTATGTCTGTCGCAGATCTGGAACTGGATGATGATGATGATGTATGCCCAAAACATAACGAGCTCCCGATTCCACTGAGTCGTGACACAAATTTTGCGCGTCCTCAAAGAGTTATTATTGTCAAGCTGTACCACTACAAGAGAAGCTAAACGGACCAACAGATGAACTGAGCAGGACGGCCCAATTTATGACAGACACCAGACTTCAAGTGTAATGCGAAGAAGAAGAAGAAGAAGAAGAAGAAGAAGAAGAAGAAGAAGAAGAAGAAGAAGGAGAAGGAGAAGGAGAAGGAGAAGGAGAAGAAGAAGAAGAAGAAGAAGAAGAAGAAGAAAAAGGAGTCAAGCTGTACTCACCCGCTATCAAAGCAGCGACCAGAGGAACAAGTTGGCGCCAGACACCCATGGCTGGGCTGTACACCGGGCGGTCTATAGGGCGACAAGTGCCCGCAACAAATCAGACTGGTGTTGTTTTCGTCGTCAGTCCACGGGGTAATTATTTAAATAATTAATATTCAAAAACAGGATGGTTGGTGGTTGAAGAAAATAACGGGAGTCTGCCAAACAAACAAACCTCCCCTTTAAAAAAAAAAAGACACGACTTCCCCACCTCCTGTCACAACAAATAAAACCAGTTCCTCAGTGCGAGAAAATCGCTTTACTCAGAGGAACACAAAACTACTGACACTAAGCATGTGTCAGTTTCAAAGTGAGAAACCCTCGAAAGTCCAAAAAGTACTGACACCATGTTATATACTCGTGACGTATCACCCGGAGGGCCGGTGCCTGGCACGCTAGCTGAGCATTGACAGCTCGTCTCGATACAACAGATGATAAAAATCACCTATCTCGCTATCAACAGCTACGATTTAAAAGAGGGAAAAAAGTAAAATATAACACTGAAAACGAAAACGAACATGATCACAGGACGGTACATGATTTGAGGAGTGGAGAGAGATGGATATCATTTTATGGAAAGTATGTCATGTCGTTACCCGAGAATTACAACGTTCTCTCTGCTTAGTAGGCCTACCTAGTTTTAAGAAATTTGATGCCAACGATTTTGAGTTTCTCAACATGCCAAGCTTTTTCGGTTGCAATTCTTTTAATATCTTGATCACGACTCCAAATAATTTTACAATTTTGATAGAGCATGTACAGATAGAACATTTGGTTTCTGACCTCATGGACGTAGTAACTGAAAACGGCCAAAAATGTCAGAACTTTTTCATCCTGAGGTAGCGATATGTAGACATCACAATTTTTTATTTTTTTATTTTTTTGGGGGGAGGGGGCTAAGTCTTTTACGGCGCTCGCAACTGCAACAAGTCATATGAGCGCGCGGGACACATTAAACATTAATTTTTCAGTAGGTAGGTAATTTTGAATTTTGCCCGGGTGGCGGCCGAAGCCTACCCTTATTAATATTAGACCACCAAGGGATCTTTACCGTGAGCAACTTGCACACGGGACCTCCGAGATTTTTTACCCATTTCCGAGATGGCTAGGTGTAGATCTTTCCTACCAGAAGATCGGGGGTGTGGCTGAAAGACAGCGGTAAGAAGGAGCCAAGGAGTAGCACTTGAAAGGCTACAGAAAGAGTCAGGAGTCCAG